ACTTAAAAAAAAATAAGTTGTATCCCAAGAAGTTAAGACCTGGAAGTAACAATTGCTGTGTGTGATTGTTTGGCTGATTTTGGAGTAGTTAATCCTTTAATGATTTTCTGGGCTGAAAATATTTATACTCCATTTACAGAGTGGGAACAGGTCTAAACTTGGAGACTAACGAGTTGTAGTGGCCCTAAGTATGTATTGCCCCCTTGTGACTGAGTCTGGCATTACTCGTTTTGGTTTTGTTTCTTTTTGCCTGTTATCCACAGCTTGTCTTCATTTCTTAGGGGTAACAGAAAATTCAAACTCATCCCTCAGGGTCATTCCAAAGCTATCCTTTACCCTTCTGCAAAGGAGAGGGGAAAGGGTTAAAGAGCCTAGTTGTTCCACCTGGTCGTTAGCTCTATCTAGGCAGCTGCTTCCAGAGCTCTTAATTGCCTTGTAGTCTAAGCAAGTCTTAGATCATAAATGGAGAATTTGGTTAGCCCTTCCAGCTCTTTCATCAGTGCTGTAGGGGGGTCCTTATACCCCCTCAAGTCCCGAATGAGAGAGAGAGAATATATTTGGTATATTAATTTCTCCTCCCCACTTTGAGTATGCATCTTTCCACTTAACTCATTTGAACTAATGTTCTTAGCCATGAGATTTGTCTTCTGAAATTTCTGATAACTTCAGTGGAAGTAATGAACACTGGCATAATTTGAAAATCTTTAATCTGTCTCAGTGTTACTGCTGATGGGCATTAAGAATCTGAAGGGGACAACCAAAGCCGGTATTTTCTAAAATTATTTTGTTTTGACTCCCCAGAGTGAACGATTGCAGTCTGACCTGATTGTGTGTATAGTCATTGGTGTACTCTATTTTGCAATTCACGTCAGTACAGTATTTACAGTTTTACAGGTAAGGTCTTCCATCATGTCTACCATTTGTCTTCAATATGCAAATACTATAATGTGATATAACACTTATTCTGGTAGAGCACCAGGTGTCCCAACTAGTTTTAGATAGTCTTTAAATATATAGTGTGACAAGTACATGACTGAAGATCTTCAAGTTCCAGTTTTATGTGCTCAGAAACTCTTCTTCCCCTGCCCCTTCATAGCTGCTTCTTACGTTCTGGATTTTTATTTTATTCTCTGACACTAAATGCCCTCTTTTTCTTCATTTGTCTCAGTTAAATAGTATCAGGATCATTCTGGAGTAAGGAAAAATGAAACTCAAAAAAAAAAAATGTTTAAAAGGTTTGACTCTTAAAGATTGAGGGTCTGAACCTTGACTCAGCAATTGCATGCTAGTGTGTCTGATTGTAGACTATAGTATAGGAGGGTACTCCTATACTGGAGTGATTATTTAGAAGACTCAAAGAGCCTTTGAGTTTCAAGTTTTTTACTTGTCAGCCTAGCTAATATTACTGCTTTGGATACTTTTAATGGGTGTATATCGCTGCCAGTTGATGATTGATGATGTGGGGCTAGATCCTGTGCTTGAATTTGTTTAAGTAAAAGCATTTGCCTAAAGAGTTGCAATTACTGAATTTCATATTTTAATATTCCTGTAATTGAACCATTGGTTAGCATATGAACAGCCTTATGTCAGGCAAGTGAAAGTTTCTTGCTTGTATTTTAGAAGGCTTTTACCCTCCTGCTGCTGCCTACAGTTAAAGTAAAAAACTAATTTTGAAAAGCATATGCATTTAGGTAGCTTCAGGTTTTCAGGTGAAGTGTCCTACTTAAGCAGGCATACTAGTTTTTTCTAAGGAAAATATCTCCTCTGTTGTATGGCTGGACTTCAGCACTCCTCTTGAATGTTGCTTTCTTCCATTATTGAGAAACTTGGTTGTATGCTCTTCACCAGTTGTATAGTACAACAGGCTTAGGCTTCACAGAATTTCCAAAACAAGACCTTATAACAAGGTAATGCAATCCAAATTTTGCTATGACATATCTAGAAATTTAGAGAGAATTTCAATGTATAGAAAGTGTTACTATGAAATCCAGTCTTCATACCATGTTAATATAGTAGTGTTTTGTGACTTCTGTGGAAGAGTTTGGTCTCGGTCTAAGGCTGCTTATTTGCTTTCTTCTCGAGAGAATATAAGATTACTGATTCATTTTCCCTTATGCTTATACCTCCTTTTATCTGGCAGATGAAAATGTAAATTGGGTTGAGCCTTTAGAAGATAATAGCTTTATAATTTATAAAATGAAATGCAGATGGGTCAGAAGCAATGGACTATGAAGGAAGACTGGTGTACTGGTTTTACTTTAAAATACTTTACAACTTAGTGAAATTTTATTAGAAATAGGTGGTTTATTTTCTCATAGGCATTTCTTGTTTCATCTTAAAGTTGAGAGTACAACTTCTCATGAAGAAATACATTCCCTACTTACTATTACAGGAGCACCTGCCTAGATGCTGGGAAAGGTATTAGTTGTGATTGTTTATAAAACTCAAACCTTAATTTCTTCAATTCTTCTTTTTAGCCAATTTTAAGTTATGTTCTCTATGCATTGGTGGGTACGGTAGGCTTTGTGACCCATTATGTTCTGCCTCAACTCCGAAAGCAGCTTCCTTGGCATTGCTTTTCTCACCCGCTGCTGAAAACCAAGGAATACTATCAGTTTGAAGTCCGAAGTAAGTATCATTCATCACACTTCTTTGAACTTGCTATAGTTGCTGACCAACTTGTGTTACCCATCGATACATTTAATCTCTTTTCTTTATTATTCTCACCACTGGAGTATTTAATGACATCTAATCTAGAAATGGCTTGGTTTCTCAGTTCCTCGTGCTTTGATTCCATGACGTTTTATGTATCCCTTAAATGATGATGATAAAATATTACACGTGCTAGCATTAGCTCAGAACATTTCCATTAAAACATGGTCTTCAAAATCTTAAGTTGCAAAGTTTGGCTAATGACTGCCTTAATTTTTCATAAAGGTAGAGTGTGTTTCACTAGGTTTTTCTTCAAGATAGTAAGTTTTCAAATGTTTTAGAGGATTCGGTATGGTGAATGTTGTCTGAGGCTTCATCTTTGCATGGATTTGTTTCTTAATGTTATTGTTGACATGTTTAACAACAGAAAGTAGTGCAAGTGGCCTACTAATGGAAAAACATACTAAGGGACCAGTTTTGCTAGTTGATCTGCATAGACATGCACTTACATGTCATGTTAAAAGTCTATGTTTCCATGAAATCTTCCTCTGGAGGCTGCAGAAAAAACGAAATTAGTTATACTGATGGTCAGTTTTCCCATATGGATAAATGCAGTGGTAGATTGTGGGGTCTCCACTGTGGAACGTTTTTATTGTTAACAGCAGACTTAAGAAATTTCTATCAAAAATGGCTTGGAAACAACTGAAACAATTTTGTATTTTCTCTTCAGTTAGTTTTCAAAGTAAGACTGTAATGAAAAGAAAGTGAGCGTTCTGCTGCTTTCAGGAGCAGAGAGTTACTGGAATTAATTCACTAACTTGCTACTTTTGTAGCAGCTGTGCAGTGTGGTTTTTTTACTGATGGCTAAATTGTGGGCTTTTTTCAGTGACTGGCTGTAAAGATGGATAAATACGAATAGTAATTGTAATATGATGCCAAACTCTATTTGGAGGAAGAATTGAAAAGTGCAATTGTATGCCTTAGATTTTTAACCTACAAAACTAGAGAAGCTGCAGTTGGTGCCTTTTTGCTGATACTTGACTTCAGTATTTCCATATGTAGTAGTGTTTTCATGAAAGATGAAAGTCATATCCAGTAAAGTTACGTAACTTAGAGAATTCACGCCGTGTCAATGACTAGTTGTCCTTTTGGCTTCTGTTGTACACAGGAAACTTCAGTTTTTGCTGGGGCTCATCTAGGCATGTGCAGTCATTCATAGTGATGAAGAGGGGTGGGCCGTCTTCTAGCCTCTTCCAAGTATATCTTTAACCCTTTGTGTATGCAGCAATGTTTAACATAACTTTTGACATAGGCTCTTCCAGCCTATATTTGTACTGCATTGTAAAATAAATTTTCTTATTATCTTCATTTGCATTAATTTGAAACATAGCAATCCTGTTACTTATTTTGCAATTATTGTAGAAGTTTAAAAAAAGTTAAGTCTCAGACATTTGTATTGACAGGTTACACGTGCTCTTCTATACTGTAGAGTCGTAAACCAGAAATCTTTCGGTTCAAATACGGTTGGAAAACATCCTTTTTGTATGAGATAAAACATGTAATGTCAAACAGCTTTATTGGTATCAGTGTTGAAATTACTGAAGAGGTGGCAAACCAGTTTGTTTCCTGCCATGTGCAGTATGCAAGTAGCTTGCAAATTGTAATGCATTTTATATAGATGTGTAACAGTGCAAAAACTCTACTGGTTCTACCGACAGTAGCTTAGAAGGAGCTTCTCTTTCTCTATTTGGTTAGATAAAAACTATGAAAGTCCAGTATGAGAATACAGTTAGTGTTTGGCTTGTCAAATTACTTGGATGAAGAAACTTTATTCTGTTAGCTGAGTTTGATTTGACAGTGCAATCTGATTCCTTCTTTTTATATATCTTGATAGATGCTGCACATGTTATGTGGTTTGAGAAACTTCACATTTGGCTCCTTTTTGTAGAGAAGAATGTTATCTATCCACTGATAGTCCTCAATGAGCTTAGTAGCAGTGCTAAGAATATTGCTAGTCCAAAGAAACTGGATACTGAGTAAGTAGAAAAGCCTTATCAAGTAATCTGGGTGCGTCTACTGTGGTGGGAAATTAAATAGTGATTTCTGGCCTTAATGGGAAGACAGTTAATGCTATTGCCTTAAAACTAAGGCAAGGAATAAATAAAGATGGTCTTTATTTGAAAGCTCTTAACAGAACCAAGTGACCTTGCTGACTTAAACTGAATGGAGTATTACAATGTTAAACTGGGAACCCACACGAAGATAAATCATTTAATTCATAGCATGTACTATAAAGACTGCAGGTTTCAGAATTATCTAGTAGTGTGATACCAAAATTTCCTTGTTGATCTTCAGAGTCTGTAATATGATTACCTGGACTGCAAGCTCAAGATAGTGAGAATACATCCTGGTATTTTGTCAGGTGTATACTTAAGACCTGTGTACTGTTCCCGAATTGGTGTGCCAGCTTGCAGCCCCTCTATAGCTTTCTGCTGTCATCAAGAAATTCCCCAGGCCTTCCAGCCCCTAAGTATAATCTGTATCCAGATGGAATTGCACACTGTCTCTTATATTGAGCCTTAGTTATAATCCCTTGAGCAGTGTATCTGACTGTCTCAGCAAATGAGAGTTCAAGAATAGGCCCTGCATTTTTTGCCTCCAAGAACAGTGACCAGGTGACTTTTTTGGATTTGAAGTTCTACTGATTTAGAACAGAAGTGTTGTAGAGAAAATAAATCTTGAAACAAAATGGAATGGGGGGGTGTTGGATTTTTTGGGGGTGTGTGTTTGGTTTTGGTTTTGTTTTTTTAAATTTAATAATCCCTGGTTCTAGTAAGTTCTTGCTTTGGGTTCATTACTATTGTCACTACAAGACCTTTGAGAAGAATATTGCCATTACATTACCTTAATGTTATTTTTATAACCGTTGATCTGTCAGTTACTGTGTCTCTGAAAAAGAATATCACTAAGTTTATCATTAAGTTGCGATTCCCCCAATATAAGATAGAGCAGTTTAGTCATGCAGGAAATAATGATAATCCAGTGTTCATTAACATCTTCTTGCTGATTAATCTAGAACACTTCTCCATCTCGATATTCATAACCTAAATTAAAGGATATTTAACCTCTGGGGTTTTTGTTGGGGGTTTTTGTTGGTTCTTTTTTAGTGAGACTCTTACAAACAATGTTGATTGGCTGGAGATTGCTGATAGGAAGACTTGGATAGTAACCTTTAAAAAAAATGTAAAGGTGTTTTTAAAGAAAAAAAAAAAAAAACAAAACCAAAAACCCAACAAACCAAACTACCCCTTCCCCCAAAATACCCTCCAAAAGCAAACCCAAATCTAAACCCTGAGTTTGAAGAGATTGGCATTGCATGACGGCAACAATTTAGGTGATCTTTAAACCCCTTTTGGACAGCAGATATGTAACTGTTTTGTGTGAATTTCTTATACAGGTTGGGTGCTTTAATGATCACGATAGCTGGCTTGAAGTTACTGCGTTCATCATTCAGTAGCCCAACGTGCCAGTATGTCACTGTTATTTTCACAGTGCTCTTCTTTACTTTTGATTACAAAAGTTTTACTGAGACCATGCTGCTAGATCTCTTCTTCATGTCCATACTCTTCAGCAAGGTAACTTGAACTCTCAATTTCTAGGTGTTTCAGGTCATCCAAAAGGGAAAACAGATAGTCCTAACCAATAGGTAATCTTCCAGATCGTGAGTCCTATCAGTATTGTAATCAATATGCTATAAGACAGCTAAGACTTCTCCTTCTGAAAGCACTTATGTTTGCTTGAGAAAGCATATGTAACTTTCCAAACATCTCCTGAGTTTCTGTTAGTAGAACAATGAAGTGCATATTATGCTGCTTGCTTCATTATTACATACTTTTTGTAAGTCTCAGGGCTTCTGGTAGACCAGTAAGTACTCTAGGGTGGCCAATAAGTTCCTTAGCATATTTGTGTACTGCAAAGCTTGTTGAGTCTCAGCCACATCACTAAATTTTTCTTCTCTCTTTTTTTCTTTTTTTTTTTTTTTTTTTTCTTCCCTCCCCACCCTGTAGCTTTGGGAACTCTTTTATAAATTGAGATTTGTATATACCTACATTGCTCCCTGGCAGATCACATGGGGATCTGCCTTCCATGCTTTTGCCCAGCCATTTGCTGTGCCACGTATCCTTTGAAAATACAGACTTTTTCCTGAAGCTGTGTGTTTATAACTTCTGAATGTTGTGTTATAACGGATTGTGTATTATGGGCTAAATCTACTGAATGAACAGATTTATCTAGTGAGTATTTATGAAAAACTGTGCGCACTTTCTGCCTTGCTACAATGCTACAAATTATACAGTAGCAGCATAAAAATTCTGAAGAGATCTTGTTTTGCTCTTAAATGGTGTCGCTGTCGATTTCAGATACTATCACAGAAGCTTGAAAAAAAGTAGTTGTTGCTTGGCTTTCCTTAATTCTGTTATCCTACAGATTCTGCAATGTTGTTTGTCCAAGCAGCTGTGTCAGCTTTCTTCTCTACTCCACTGAATCCTTTTCTGGGAAGTGCAATATTCATCACTTCGTATGCCAGGCCTGTCAAATTCTGGGAAAGAGACTACAAGTAGGTGAAATAAGACCTTTAAAGTTTGTGTCCTTTGTTTTTAATAATGTAACTATGGCTAAATGTGTTGGTTCGGTGTTTTTCTTGTTTTTTTCCCCCCTCCAAGTGCTGCTATTTTTTCCCCGAGAGAAAACTAGTTTATACCACAGAGTTTTTGGTGAACTTGTTTCTGAAATACTGTATCAGCTGTTTCTTATACTAGCAACATTTGCTTTAGCTTCTTAAGTAATTTCTGCTTAGAGGTTTGCCATCCTGGTAATTTTTTTAAAACATAAAAATTGTAAGTGAACTTATGTATATAAATGTTTTGGGGGGCAGTTCATAACTGTATCTGACCTGTGTTCATTATTGCTCATTTCACAGCTAAAAGTGGCTAACTTCAATATAACATTCTTTAAAGTAAACCTTTTTTGATCAAGGTGGGATCAGTAGTAAAAGATTCTTCATGTCAGATTGCACCTCCCTGCGTTTTATTTCTGAAGTCCGCTATTACTGATGAAGTATCAGAGCGGTGAAACGTTAGGTAAACAGCATAGGGCAAGATGACTGGATAGGTATTTATGGAGAATTAATTTTTCATTTCACTGCTTTATTGGCTTTTTTCCCCTTCTAACACTAGAACAGTTTAAATACAGTGTTTCAAATCTTACGTTAAATAAAGAGCTAAGGTTGTAACTTCAGCCAATGAAATAATAACTTTCTGAAAATTGCCTTTTCTGTAAAGTCTACTGTAATGTTAGCTGTATTAACTTAATTGTTTTCAAGTTTATTTGTCACATCTAAAGTTTTTTTATATCTGAGAAAATATACACTTATATCTAAAGCTAAATAGTATTCTGTGGCTACCTACTGTGGACAAACTTCGTTAGGTATTGGATCATAAGGCTATTATAGGCAGAAAATACTTCTACATATGAGAAGAGCAGAAAATTTGCATAAAAATTATTTTTAAATAATTTTTTGAAACTATTTCAATTGAAATGTTTTTTAACAATTTTTATTCTGCTAGTACTTTCTTCCCTTAGATTTTCTTACAATAATAAATTTTGTTAAGTATGCTTTGTTATTATTTTCAGCACAAAGCGTGTGGATCATTCAAATACAAGACTGGCTTCGCAGCTTGATCGAAATCCAGGTAGCTTTCTTAGTCTGATTTTTTGATGGGGGTTGGGGTTTTTTCTTATTTTTTGAGGGTTTGGTTTTGATTTTTTTTTTTGGATGGTGGTGTTTTTTCCAACTGTAAATGGCTTTTATAGGATTCATGATTGGTTTGCCCTCTGATCTTCTCTAGCCTTGCCCAACCTTTCTGTTGTTCTGTCTACAGTTACTTTCTTTGTCATCATCTCTCTCTTTATTCTTTACTCTGCTGTAAGTTTCTGGTTTCCCCACACCTTTATGTGCATCTGCTTTACTTCTTTATTTCTAATCATAGTAAGTATTAAGCAGTTTTGCTTTGTATTCTTCTTAATTAAGAAAAGCCAAACATTGTTTGAGGGTGTCTCAATGTCATGGTGATGAGACCAGTACAACAGTCATTACTGAGATACTTCTGTGCTCATTTGCTTTTGCACTTTATGATGTGGAATAGGTTGATGGGAGATGCATGAGTGGAACTGAAGCAAGAATTTGGAAAATGGAGGCGTGACTAAGAAGGGAAAAAAATTGGTCAAAAATGCTAAATGACACTTTGCATTAATTTGGAGTAGTTGTCCCTTAAAAATGGGGTGCAGGGTGTGGAGAACAACCTTGAAACAACGTTGCTGTTAAAGTGTAGTATTCAATATGAAGTGATAATTGACAATCAAGCTTGATGTTTTTCTGCAGATTCAGATAATAACCCGAATCCAATCTTCCTGCAGGTTCAGATGATAACAACCTGAATTCAATCTTCTATGAACATTTAACCCGTTCCCTTCAGCACAGCCTATGTGGAGACTTGTTGTTGGGTCGGTGGGGAAACTATAGTACTGGGGACTGCTTCATCCTAGCCTCTGACTACCTCAATGCACTAGTACACCTTATAGAGATAGGAAATGGCTTGGTCACCTTCCAACTGAGGGGGCTTGAATTCAGAGGTGAGTGTGTTTACACTTCCTTAACTGTCTGTACTAAAAAGTGGACTTCTGCTTTGGAAATGTAATTATTTTCAGTTCCATCCTATAAATAAATTGCTTTGAAAATGAGCTGCAGGGCCTCTTTGTGCCCCTGTCACTTGTGAGGAAAACTAGCTTGCTCTAGCAGAGTTGATGCAAAGTCTCTCTTTCCATTTTAGTGCAACATGGCTACCATAATTGATTCTGAGAGACACCTAACTAAAATGTGATCTTAGATTGATAAATTAAGCTATCCAAATTTTTCATGTTCACTGGCAGATAGTTCACTTGATGTTACAGAAACATAATTGGGGATTGGTTGGACTTTAAACGCAAAGCAACATTAAAGCAATCGTATAAAGTGTTCAGCTCTTTCTTCTTTTGTCTATTTTCTCCTAAGGAACTTACTGCCAGCAACGAGAAGTAGAGGCCATCACTGAAGGTGTAGAGGAAGATGAAGGCTTTTGTTGCTGTGAACCAGGCCACCTTCCTCACATGCTTTCCTTTAATGCTGCCTTTGGGCAGCGTTGGCTGGCTTGGGAAGTGCTTGTAACAAAGTATGTTCTGGAGGGTTATAGCATCACTGACAACAGTGCAGCTTCCATGCTTCAAGTCTTTGATCTCCGGAAAATTCTCACCACTTACTATGTGAAGGTATGATTCAGATAATTCCAACCCTTGCGGGGAGGTATGCTGGGAGCTGCTTAATGTCTAGAAAGTTTAATGTCTTTCATATGAGGATCTTAGAATGGGATACAAATTACAGATGTCTGAACACCTTCATCAAAGGAGGACAGAGTTTGCTGTACTGATGGTTACTTGATACTCTGGTGCATGAGCTCAGGACAATGACCCTATAGTCTAGAACAGAGAGAGGACGCTTTCTAGCTGAAGCTGGAGTAGAAACTTTAAAGCTGTTACCCAAATGTAATAGCTGTGTTGTAAATGAAAAGTTAAATGAATAGCGTGTTCCTCTTGGAGAAAGCCAAGCTGCTTTGGTGTTCAAAAGCTGTCCAAATCTGTCTTTAGTTTTGTTTTGGACTTTAAAAAACAAACAAACAAAACCCCCAACAAACCAACCAACCAAAAAAAACTAAAAACCACACACAAAAAAAACAAAACCGCAAAACCAAACCCGACAGTTGTAAAAGGACTGTAGGCCTCCAATCCCTTCAGATAATCAGTTTACTAATCGAGATCTTTCACAAACCGTCCTCTTTGAGAGCTGAAAAATTTCAAGTTGAAATATTTTAAAGATACTTCTACACAAGCAAGTTATTGGGTTTTGGTTCCCCTCCCAAACACAAGGGTGTTAAACTGTCTTATCTTTTATTTAGCATTTGAATTCTTTAGAATCTAAGCCTCCATGTTAACTAGATAAAAATTCCTAGGTATTTGTTTACAAACAAATAAAATTACAGTGAGAGTCATGTCCTGTCCTTTTTTCCTTTCTTTATTCCTTCAGTGCGTGCTTCAGAAAGCTTGACAGTCTTAGAAAAATATGCCTGCATGCAAGCTTGTACTGTTTTTTCTGTGCAAGTTTGTTTCATCTGTGAGCTAAATGAATGCTATTGTATATCAGGTTTGTTCATTACCAGGAAAATAATGCAAATGAGTTGGAACAATGGAGATTGACTCTTTTTTCCATTGCAATACTGACTCGTATTTTTAACTACTACTGTTACAGGGAATCATCTATTATGTCACAACATCTCCCAAGCTAGAGGAATGGTTAGCTAATGAGACAATGCAGGAAGGACTGCGGTTGTGCACAGACCGCAATTATGTTGATGTAGACCCAACATTTAACCCCAATATTGATGAGGATTATGACCACCGTCTAGCAGGGATCTCAAGAGAGAGTTTCTGTATGATATATTTGAACTGGATAGAATATTGCTGCTCTCGAAGAGAAAAGGTAAGTGTGAACATGTGAGGAAAGCCATTTGCTATTCTAGGATGGTCTCCTTTTTTTTTCCCCCTGTTGGTTTGACTTGCAGACTGGTTTAATACTGATTTTTAAAATAAAGATTTATAATTGAAATATTAATTTATAGCTTACTCATTTTGATCTTCTGCTCTTGAGATGTGAGTTTAAATAAATTCTCTAAGTAGTCTGTGACTTAACCTGTTCATTAATGAATTTTCATTCACCAACTCAAATGAATCAGTTGAATCTTAGTCAGGTGTTTATCTACATACAAAAGGGTATGTTTATAGAATTAATGTTTTGTGCTTAGATGTCAGTGTTTACAAATCAACCCTAACGTAAACAAAAAACCCCAACACAAAACCCAAAAAACCCCAAATGCCTGTTGTCAGCTTATAAGACTAGCTGCTTCTGTCTTTGTGGTCATACTATACTGTTCCTCTGGACCACTGGAATTGTTGGCTTGTGAAAACGATCATCCCATACTCAAATCTTTCCCCCTCTCCAAATCCTTCCACCTTTTAAATAGAAACATTAGTATGTTTGTAGAGAAATGCCTTGACTTCTTACTGTTTACAAAAAACCTGTTTGTGGTCTAGTCAAAGTAGTGTTGTCTTTGAGAATAAGTGGAAATTGGTGGATGTTAAAGGAACAGTAATATAGTTGGAATTTATGTGTTTAATGAAGGATCCAAGACTTAAGAGTTCAGCTTTACTTTGGAGGTAAAAGATTAATTAGAAGCCCATTTTAATACGTGTAAGATTTAAAGCGTTCTGCAGTCAAATAACAAACAACAGCCGAAGCAAATTGTTTCCTTCCAAGTCATGATCTTGTGAAATATTTTGTGTAGGTATTGAAAATCAGGTTTAATCACTTAAATGAATGATACTATTATCTAGGGCATTATATACCCTTTACAGCTACTACTGGCTTTGGGCTGAAGATGAGTTTCTCCCAAATAAAGCTGTAGTCCAGGGAAGTTTTCAGTAAACTCAGAATTATATACTCCTAACCAGTAAGTGAGAATCCACTTTGTTCACTAAAAGTATTTTGTCTTAACCTCATAATTTTGCTAATCAACAGTTTTCATACAAGATACACAGTATCCATGAGGAATGTTGCGTGCATCTGTTCAGCTTACAATTTGCCTTATTTCAAATATAGTATATGTGTGTCAGCCTTTACAAGTACTCCACATACTTGGAAAACTTTTAAAATTTTTTTTAAAAAGAATTCCTATTCAAAGTCTGAGCAAGAGTAACCGGTGTGGTAGGTATGTAGGCACGCTTGAATTTGTGTGCCTTTGTACGTGTTTGGGTCTCTCTCCTCCTTCTGGCAGAACACTTCCGTGTGACAGTTTTACTCCATTCCCCTGACTATTCCTTTTTTCTTTTGTTACTACAAGCCACTGGATTCAAGTAAAGACTCACCCCTGGTGACATTGTGTTATGGACTGTGTGTTCTAGGGCGGAGAGCATTGGGAACAGCTTCACATCATATGTCTAGGTAATAAAATATTGTTGCTCTAAGCTTCCCTTCCTCAAATCCCTCCGGGCTCCTAGATTAGGTATTAGATGAGTATCTCTTCGTACAAGGAACAGATATTTAATGTCATCTTTCCTTAAACTGGACAGATATGCTATGTAATCTGTCTTCGTTATAACAGCCAGTAAAACGTAACCTAAGAACAGCAAAAGAGGGAGAACTTGAATTTGAGCTTTTTGTTTTATCAGACTAATGCAAGGTGAGAGTTCTGATGTGGGTAAGCACCAGTGATAACTGATGGAAAAAACCCAGAACTGGTTGAGTTCTAAAAGTGAGCTCTGTTTTCTGCTCAAAGTTTGTGCCTTGTACAGAAATAAAGGGAAGATTAGGACAACTGCTTAAAATGAAGAACACACATGTCTTGATGTAAGCTAGGTCAGACTCTTGTGATAAGTTTCCCAGTTTATCTGGCTCTGTGGCAAGCAGATGTGTTTGGTATGGAACTCCTTCAGGCCAACTCTGCCATCACATGGCAACCTCTTTCTTACAGGCTGACAGCCTCAACTTTAGAAAGCCAGTGTAAAATATAGTTGTATGTTTCAGAAAATCACAAGGTGATGGTTTAAAAAGAAAATAAAAAGAGGCATAATCTGATGTGGAAGCTATTGGTGAGCTGGCTGCTGACTGTAAAACCTGTTTTACTTCACTTTCACAGAAATTATTGAGTAATTCTTCTAAGTACCAGCCAATTGCCCCCTGAAGGGCTTGCAGATATGCAGTTGCAGGAGTCATCAGAGCATATTTGATTTTTCACTCTAAGTTAGCTTAGTAAAAGGAAATGATGCCTTTAAGCGTGAGCAAGTTGTCCAAGTTTTTTGTTCCCATACTGAAGCATGCACAACTGAAGCTACATACCCTCCTTAACTGGTGCGTTGTGGTGTTATATTCCCTGAAAAATTTTCTCTTTAAAAATCTTTGTCAGGAATACCTCACATTGTTCCTGTTTACTTTAGTTGTGTAAATAGTCCATTGCATGTATGGTTTATTCATTACCTGTTCAGTACACAGACATTTAGTGTCCAAGCTTTGCTACACAGCCTTACTCATATGTTCTCTTCTCCCTGTCTTACCCTGTAAGTTATCTTTACAGAGCAGAATTGTGTGCCTTTCTGTACAGCTTAGTGTTTTCTGCTCTTGTCAGTGATGATAATTGTGGATATGTTTATATTTCTGTTTAATATTTGGGCTCTCTTCTTAATTTTTTTTTTCCCCCAACAGTAATCTGGAATCCTTCTTGTATGGCCTCCATGCCCTATTTAAGGGTGACTTCCGTATATCTTCAATTAGAGATGAATGGATCTTTGCTGATATGGAATTGTTGAGGAAAGTAGTGGTTCCTGGAATACGGATGTCACTTAAGCTGCATCAGGTGAAAGATTACACAGGAAGATGTGTCCAGTTCTCTTTAATTCTGTGCATTTGTTCTTTCAAAAATAAGTGGCTAGGAGAGAGGAAAAAAAGAGGAAGATAATAAAAGGGCACGTGATAGAGATGGTCAACTGAAAATGAGGGACTATCATGTCTCGTCCTTTATTTTTATTATAGCTCATCTAGAAGGTGATTATAGAGGAAAAGGGAATGCAGTTTTGCACTCAGAGCTTGAAAATTACATCAAATGTAGATCAGAGAACACATCAAGCTGTGTTTCATATCCATCTAGATAATTCCCTTATGAACAGCCTCTCTGATCAATTTTCCCTCTCTCTTCCCCTCCCCGCATATATGTAATTGGCTTAAAAGGTTATAATGCCATTCAAAGTTGCACAGCCATCTCCAGCCATCCAATGGCAGTTGTTTTTTTTACTCTTATTTTTTCTTTGAAATGTTGTAGTAACAGACACTTTGGCATTACTCATTGATCCTGTCAGGAAGGTTTCAGGTGATAATGAGAATGTTGCTTTTCAATAAGCTGAAATTGGTGTCCGTCTTTATAGTGAAGTGAGGGTGAAGATGAGCAATCTCAAATTCTGTCCAGTGCGTCTATTAACTAAGCTCAGCAAGTGCGAGAAAGAATGTACCGAGTGATAAGCACTCAGGGGGTGGTGGTGGGGAAGCATTGGTACTGTAGAAGAACAGATTGCTTGAAAATCATAGTAAGTAGGCAAATCTTAGTTGCACTTTTTTAATAATAAATAAAGCTGCATTATTCTGCCTTCATTGCAGAGTCTAGAAGCCCCCAAAGCTTGCAATGATTGAATCAACTCCTTCATGTAACACAAACTCCCTGAATTTATCAGAATGTGTATAAGTGTTAAGAGTACACGTAGCGAAGTAGAATAATTACAAAATCATTGTTGAAACCAGCAGAAGTACCACTTCAACAATTCTGAAGTACTCTCAGTATATTTGGGTTACTGTGCAGAATGGGCTTGAATTAAATCACAGAATGAAAAGTGAGAAAAATACAAGTATCTGTAACAATAGAAGTTGTTTCTTCTGAACATTATTGTATTAATCTATAACAGGTGATTTTATTCACTTGCAGAACAATAGCATATTGAGGCTTCAATCACTGCTGGTAATTTAGTGTGTTTTACCGTTGGACTCTTGTGACTAATCAAAGACGCTAAAACTAAAATGCTTCTGCAGGCAATATGAATAAATAAATATAAATCTAGTGTAAAATTCAGCTAGACACTTAACTTGAATCAGCAACAGACAGATCCTTCCAATCGTTTTGGTTTTAAGTTAAAAAAGGGAGCAAACACAAGCAGACAGAACTAATCTGTTGGAAAAGAGGTTATCTTTAACAATGTACTTTAGTAGGTTTCTGATATTTTTGACGTCTAACTTTGTGCAATGCACTGAGCCCTTCAAGAATTTGAGGTGTAAAATGTTTGATTTTTTTTATATGTAGTTAACCTGAAGTGTTAATCATATCTTACGGAACATGTGTTCTTGGAAACAGGATCACTTCACTTCTCCAGATGAATATGATGATCCTTCTGTCCTTTATGAAGCCATAACCACCCATGAAGAAAATCTAGTTATAGCACATGAAGGGGACCCTGCTTGGCGGAGTGCAGTTCTTTCCAATTCTCCCTCCCTCCTTGCTCTGCGTCATGTGATGGATGATGGCACCAATGAATATAAAATCATTATGCTGAATAAGCGCTATCTTAGTTTCAGGGTCATTAAGGTAAGCTTTGTGCACGTTCCATGATGTGACGGTATGTTGCAGCATACTTTAATAACTATACCAAGCTGTTACTTCAACTCAAATCATTACTTTTTTGTTACTGATCTGTCAGTGCTAGGGCTCCTTCTCGTGTAGTGGAAGTATTTAATCAGGAAATCATTTGCTGACTTAAAATACCTTATTTCTCGCTTTATTCTCACTGTTGCAGACTGTGTCCATAAGTTCAGCCTTTTAAAGAAGTGAATAAGAACACTTGCAGTTCTGCAGTGCAATATTGTATACACTTGTGAAGGCCTAGGTATAGCAAAGCAGTCTTCTCACACTCATTGTTTCACTTTCTGACACAGCCTTTCTACTTGGCTTCTGTCTGTCATGTTCTGCAGGTGAATAAGGAGTGTGTGCGTGGCCTGTGGGCAGGACAACAACAGGAGCTTGTCTTTCTGCGTAACCGTAATCCAGAAAGAGGAAGTATCCAAAATGCAAAACAAGCTCTGAGGAACATGATCAACTCCTCTTGTGACCAGCCAATTGGATACCCAATCTACGTCTCACCTTTGACTACTTCCTATTCAGATAGTCATGAACAGCTTAAGGAGATTCTCGGGGGAGCTATCAGCTTAGGAAACATCAGAAACTTCATAGTGTCTACATGGCACAGGTGAGCTGAGGAAATGAGTTCTCATTAGTATGCATTCATGCTCTCACATTTCATTAACTAGTCTCATACACGCACAACACAGCATAACTTGTTGCACAAAAATAAATAAGCCTTGGCTTTTATTTCAGGCACATCTGTACCATATGGCAGCCGCTTTGGTACAGGATTAATCTTCAAGGCATTTAAGTAATACGCCACAAACTATGTAAATTACAGCTCAGAAAAAACAGGACAGAAAGTCTAGGTGCAAGAACTTCAATTCTGATTTCAGGTCTGATGATGAGAGACAATGCAGCTTCTGTATTACTTTTTTTCAGTACCATCACTTTTGCAGTGCATAATATCCTTACAGAATCAGGACTATTTGGTAGGGCTCCTGTCTGGCAAACATTTAGCATGCAAATGCCGCTATTAACATTGTTAGGGGTATGCTCATACATAGTAACTCAAGCTTTAGCTGTTGTTCAGAATTTCATGAGTGTTTATGAATACACTGTATGTCAGAGCCAGAACAAGTAACTGGAGAGATAATATAATCCTCCCTCCACGTGACCCCTTGGTAACCCATTGCAAACTCTTGCTGTGCTGTGATTATAGGCCATGAGAACTTTTACTGCACTTCTGGCCTGTTATGACTGTAGCTCCTAAAGTAATGGTGGCAGCTGTGTGTGGCATTTGAAATGTGTGTTCCAGTTCCTATCAATTCCAGGAGCTGATGCCATAGTTGGAACAGTCCTGTAGCTGTTCTGATGGTCATATTTACACTTAGACACCTACAGCACATCAAAACAGAAGGTGCTGCTTCACCCCAGAATATGCCACACTTGCTACAGTCTGTGGTGTTTGTCTTCCATCTCACCAACTGCTTGTCCGGCGTGTGGATAGAATAACAGGTGAAGGTATGACACAGAATGGTATTTGGATCCAAGCTGTGTGCGCAGGGGCAAATAAAATGGGAAAGGAGTGCTCAGTGTATCTGAGTGCGACAGAAAGAAAAGAATACTAAAAGTAGGAATCGAAGGGAGGAGGAATGTGCTGTGGTTTTTGTGTCCATCTGAAGTTTGTTAATGCAAACAAAGGGGTGAAAAGCTTGTACGTACACTGGAAAACGTTGGCTAGCCTAGTGTCTGAATGTTCAGAATTCACACGAGAATTTGTGATTCAAATAATTGCAATATGTGCTTCAAACAACTGTGAGTACATTACTGACGGTAACAAGAAACCAAATACATTAAAAAACAAGCCCCAAACTAACAAACATTCTTTTCCTGCTCATCTGAATAGACCAAGATTTTGCAGTATAAGAATACACATGTGACTAGTGTGTTAAGGAGCATAATTTTAGTAAACTGTTACAAAACAACCAGGTTGTTCTGTCAGCATTTTATATTTAGAATTTTATTGCTTTATTGTACTTCAGAGGTGGTGTGATTTTTCAAAAGCTATTTTATCTGAGCATTTGACTTATCATAAATAACTGCTACTTGAATAGCTGTCATGAAGAAAATTGCAATCTCTTACAAAGCAGTATTTATACTTGCAAAGCATGTTCTGAGAAAATAAAGTCACATTTTACCTGATTTTTAGGGAACATTGTGGTTTGTGCAGAGTAAAGCCTTTTGCTTGTCATCATAATGCATTTCTTAGAATCCTGTTGATTAAGAGGCCTGACAATGTGTCAATTGCATTATGTTTTCAGACTAAGGAAAGGTTGTGGAGCTGGCTGCAATAGCGGTGGAAATATTGAAGATTCGGATGCTGGAGGTGGAGCTTCTTGCACAAGTAACAATGCAACTATCAATGAGTCGCAGAGCAGCGTGTCGCAAGGAGGAGGGAATGCAACTACAGGGCAGGGACCTGGAGCAGTACAGCACCCTCCTGTTGCAGCTCATCCCACAACTCTTCCTGCAGCTCATCCACCAACTCATCCCTCCACTCTGGGTAAAATGAAAATAAACAAAGCAACAATTTTATACTAGTACAGTCCTGTTGCCAGAAGTGGCCTTTCAGCTTTTTGGATCAGGCCTGAGTTAAAAGAAAAAGCAAACAAATGTGACTGGATTATGTAGTGTTAACAGCTGCTGGATTAATCTCAAACTACAGTGCTGTCTTATGCAATGTGAGGTTCTCAATCAGAGATTTGAGCAATAGGGGTATAGTTCTGCTGGCAAAATAGATGAAATAACTTTTTATAACACACCTCTACAAATTGGATCTCTTCTGTCATGTTGTCTGCGAATGCTAAACTTGTAATTTTTTGTTAATGTCTTTGCATTTCTTATTTATGGAATGGATTCTCTATTTCCATACTATTTTAGCTGAATCCTATCCAAGAGTCCATAGTGATCTGTAGTTAGGGAGGTCATAAACAGTAAAGCTGAGAAAAAGCTTTCCAAACACTGCCTTTACTCATAAAGAGTATAAAAGTGCATGTAGTTGAATTAACTTTTTGGTTTTACACAACTTAAGTAGGTCGATCAGCTGTGGAGAGGTATCTACAAGTATTTACTACAGGAAAAGCAGTGACGCTAATGGTCATAAACTGCGGTTTCTGTTTTTCACTTAAGTGCATTACATTTTTCAGAACTTGCTTTAAAAACAGCTTTTGCTCAAATTTTCTGACTCAATCTTTGAACATCCAGTCAAGCATATTAAGAAAGAATATTTAGTATTTTGAAATATGGACATCTCTACCTGCCTTAACACCTTAAGTATGGGAAACTTAAGTGTTAAGAAACAAATTGGTGATGCGAGAAGACCAAGGCTGAAGTATTTTTCAAGCTACTTGTCTTGCAGGGATTGTGAGTTGAACAGAATATGAAATTCCAAGATAAGATGAATGGAATGTATTCAAATGCTCTGCTATATGAAATGCAACAGAGATCATCTGCAGTACAGCTGTTTGAGAAGTTGTTGATTAGACCCATCAGTTTTATATCTAAGCGCTAAAACATTTGTGTGTCGGAAATCTAATGTGTGTGGGAGGCTATATCAAACTCTCCTGATTCTGTATCTTTTACTTTTAGGCACCAGTCACAGCTCTCACTCTGTGCAGTCAAGCCTTGTCAGACATTCCCCTGCCCGTGCCTCAGTAGCTAGCCATTCATCTTATTGCTACGGCAGTCGTCATTCATCTCTTCGCACATCCACAACAGGCTTTGTGCCTTGTCGGCGCTCTTCCACCAGTCAGATATCCCTTCGTAACCTCCCATCATCCATCCAGTCCCGCCTATCTATGGTGAACCAAATGGAACCTACTGGCCAGACTGGGGTCAGCGCGCAGCATGGACTGCCCTCTTCTAGCAGCTCCAGCCAAAGCATCCCAGCCTGTAAACAGCATGCCCTTGTGGGCTTTCTAGGGACAGAAGGAGGGAGTAATGCAGCTGAAACTCAGTCAGGTGGTAATGCAAGCCCTGCAAATCAAATTCAAGCCAAAAAGGATGACGTTATTTACAGAATCCAGGTGAATAGTCCGGAAGAACAAGTTAACCTATGCTTCCACATGCTTTTGTTAGTGTTACCTTGTACGTTGTTGAAATCGCTGCTTTTAAATACATACACAGTCTGGAATGTCTCAGTATACAACTGTTGTGCAGTTACATTTGGAGAACTAATGTGAGGAAAAGGTTTTCTCGACAGTCAGCCTTCCTGCATGCTTAGACATCCCTGTTTACATTACTTGTGTGTTTTGCTGTAGTGCAGCTTTGAGAATGTCACCTGAACTCAGTTCCACTTCATACTTAGTTTACCTTTACTCATTACGACATGTAAAGCTAAACAGCTTAATTGGCAGGGCAGAAAGCAACTAGCTTTTTTCTTTTAAACCAAGTAGATTTTCCACAAAAGTAACTGTAAAAAGACTCGCTTTCATATGTATTTATTCATTTTCATATGTTTTTATTCTTTGGTTATTGCCACAAGTCTGGGTTTACTGAGCAGCAAACAGTACACCATTGACTGAGTTAATCATGACAGCCTTACTCGTTTTGTGAAAATCCAGAAATTTGTGTTGTTGCTCTTCTAGCTTTTATTAGCCCCACATACATGTATTTGGCAGTATATTGGTGGAAAATACTAAGAATTATTAGGATTATAACAAATGTGATTTCATAGCTGATGTCACCTTGTTTTGAAGTAATTGTTAGTAAACTGCAATCATAGTGGGCAAAGTTAACAAATTAATTTTGCAAGTCTGTGCTTAGTAGCTTTTGTTTGCAGGCAAGGGCCCTTCTATGAAACTGCTTAATTCCTCTGTGTGAGGAGGATACAAGCAAAGTTGACATGCACCCTTGGATAGTGGACATTATGTGGTTCTCTCTGTCCTTAAATAGGAAGAAGTTTTCAGGAGTTTTCTCCTGCTGCCCCTGTGGAAAGGCCAGTTTACTTCAAAACACAGGGTGGGTCTCAACTAACCATGCTAGTAGATAAATAGTTCTGAGCCTAACAGTAAAATCTCCAAGACCCTGTTTCTGAAGATACTCTGTAAGAAATGATGAGCCAGTTTTAACAGCTCATCATCGCTTAACTCTTCCCTGCAACTGGACCATGTGCTGCCAATGCTTATGTTGTGCCAGCTCCTCAGACCCTGCCATGAGCCAGTGTAAAAAAAAGAAGGGAGGGTCAAGGGAATGAGAACTGCTGTTTCAGACAGCAGTGAACTGGTCTATTGTCAGCTGTGTCTGAAACCACAGCCTGATTTCCAAATTCTGTGCTGCTCAAGCTTTTTCCGAGCCTTGAGCTTGAGTTTCCAACATAGAAATCGATTTCTGTACAATTTCAATGGGTTAAAATCAGTTCTCTGGAAGTATGCAAAAGGTTACAGTTTATGTGTTTCTTTTACATTTTGGCTGAACTAACAGTCAAAACTCAATTCCTACTTATAGTTAATGGATCCCAGTCAAGTACTGGAAGGGATCAACGTGTCAAAAAGGAAAGAGCTGCAGTGGCCAGATGAGGTGATACGGCTAAAAGCTGGAAGAAACAGCTGGAAAGACTGGAGTCCTCAGGAAGGCATGGAAGGCCATGTAAGTTTTGCTTAGAAGTTGGCAAGCTAATTTTTAAAAAAGGCAGTGTCTTGATTCTATGGCAGTCTGCCTAGATGTCAGGGCCAAAGATTCATGCAGCAGTAAGTTAGATCAGTAGCTGTCCTCCAGGTCACTGTTGCGGGAAGAGCAGGTCTTAGAATCCTAATGTGAAGCAGAGGGATATTTTTGCAACTGTATCCAAAAGATGCAGGATGATGATTCAAATTTTGTCAGCTACCTCTCCTTCCTTGCCTTCTTCCAGCTCTTGTCATGAACAGGCATTGCGCTCATTCATCTGACCTTCATTTTCCTTTCTTAAACTGTCAATCCTTGAGCAAACATGGAAGGTCAATTTACCAACAAGTCCTTAATTGAATGGTTAACAGTATTTGTTTTTAAATTATTCTGACGAAAATAGAGCCAAGTAAGATTGGTTTTAGATGCCTCTTATGTAATAGGTACATGATAGATGTTTACTTTCCTTTAAGAAGGAAATATGCTGTAACTAAAACTTGCCAAAGCCTGTGGCTTGAAATGCCATCTCCCTTTTCCCTAGAGGTGTTATAGCTGTATTTTGTAAAAATTCACTGCATTAGTTAGAAAACTTATCTTCCAATTTAGGCTCTCTTTGGCAGGGAAAAAAAACCCCAGCTCTGTCTTTGAGGTTTTTTTGATTTTTACAGAGGCATGTGTCTTTAGACCTTTGTGTCTGTAAAGATGCTCCAGTGAGTATTCTTTCAGTGATAAACAGTAAAAGGGAAGAGTCACTGATACTGTGTCTGCATTGGTTCATCAATACAACTGTACTTTCATTTGGAATACGTCAGTTCTGATGGTTTATAAGAATTTGCTGTGATTGACTGCTTACCTTAATTGGAGGTGTTATTTATAAATTGGGTTCAGGGACTGGATTTTGCTGTCTGAAAGTCCACATCACTGTGGATGTATGTGCAAACTTCAGGTAAGAAATGGCAATCTGCTGATAGCACAGTGTATATCAAATCTACCTTTATGTATGTGTGTGCAGGAAGGGCCTTGGAAATCAATTCTGTCTGTGAATAATTGTATCATAGTTGATGGTCCACCTTTAAGATAGTAGGGCTTAAAACCTAGGAGTAGAATGCCATTGTAAACATTCATAGTTAACGTTGGGTTTTAGATGTTACACTTCTAGAATTTCCTTGTTAGCTATTGCAGATCAAGAACGTCATAAAGACAGTGAGCGTAAAGGGTTATATTGAAACACATCCTGTTGCCTGGTATCATTGGACAATTCTTTTCAGGAGTTCACGAGTGCGTTTTGCAAATTGCAGTATGCTGACATGTACAGTGATTGATGTTACAGAAAGATTAAAACAAGAGGATTTGAAGGTCAGAGTAAGCTACTGTTCTGAATGCTTCTCATCTATTTTTGGTGCAGCGTATTGGCAGGTTTTTTTAGAAGAGCATCTTTTAACTTAAGAAGAAAGGGGGAAAGCACCAGATTATCCTATGTGTGATTAGGAGGAAAGGATTTAAGCTGATGACATGGTTTCCACTGCCTGCTTCAGCTGCCTATGGTTAAACATACTAGTATCAATAAAGCCATCAGCTTTACTTTAGTAGTCTTCCCTTTCTGATCCTGCAGCTGCAGTCCTTTCTGCAAACAGGCAGAAATGAGTGTTACCTGCTGAGATGCTGCTCATCAAACAGTTTACAAGCCGAAGCCTTATGTCAGTGCTCTTGGTATGAAGTTCAGCACTCAGTTGTTTAAAACTTTACTACGTAGAAAAAAGCATTTTTCCTCACTTTGCTTTTTATTTTGCTGAGTGTACAGTACAGTGTGTATATACTACACAAAGACATTATAGGGCTTCTTCAAGGAAATTAAATTTAGCAATTCTCTTCGTATTGTAGCTGTTTTTTCCAGGACTTTGAGATTAAGGTGTACTCTGCATTATCTTTCTATGATACCTGACACTGGCATGTGGAAGAACCCTTTTCCCCAACAAGAGATTCTTAGCACCTTTTGACTACCTAGTGACATCATTTTGCATGCTATCAGTCATTCATGGGCATGAGATAAATGCCAATCATGATAGAAGAGATGGTAAAACTGGGGGGAGGAGGGGTGGGGATGGTTGCAGTGAGTTACAATCTATGTACAACTTCTGCCTATACAGTTTTTAAGGAGCCATGATATTGATGCCTTTGGAGTCAGCCTGTAGCTATCTCAAAGGCACCAGCTTTAAGTTGGACAGCAAGGATGTAGTACTTGGACTTTATTAGGGAATGTTTTATGTGTCTGGGGATAGAATATTCCTGGCCTCACTCTATACAGCAGCATAAAAAGTTTATTTGGACAGACTTTGAAGTCAGACTTGAACAGACAGCTTAAATACCATGCTGTTGCATCAAACAAAGGTGATGATGAAATAAAGATGCCATGCTTTCCTGGCTGAAATGCTTTCCCTGTGGATGCAGTGTGGATCTCATGCAGTGGACAAAGCTGCATCTCTTTCACCCAGTGTTAGAGAAATGGGCAGCTGTCAGTTGGGTATAGTGAGGATTAAGGGGGGTGTCTCCTGGACTTGATCTTGTAAGATGTAGCTTACTTGTGGGTTTCTGTCCTTTTTTTCCCCACCTCTGTCTTTAGAACTCTTTGAAACTGTACTGTCCTGGATTTTGTAAAAACTAATTTTATTTGCTTTTTGCCTTACCTTGTCTTTAAGGTTGTTTTCCCACAACTGGCAAATTTGAGATTATTCTGTTTCTATGGAGCTGGCAATACTTAAAACCATGTTACTGGTGGAGCATCCTTGTAGTTCCTTTGGGGGACCCAGGGGTTAAGGGTGTATTTTTATGGAGGCAGCTGAGCAGAGACATAAAAGGTCATATAAGGGCCTGTATGGAAAAGGGACCTTCTGATGGTCAATATCAGGTAGAATCCTTGGAAACAGTAGATCAAAGTACCTGAATTCTGTAGATCCAAGGGAGTATGGGGCAGTAGTTCATGGCACTGTTTCTGAAACCCTTCCTCTTTGTAATATTTTTTTTAATTTTAAATTATCTTTGAATAATTTAAAAGATCAACTTGAATTCACAGTGAGTAGGCAACAAAATCAGGGCAAGGGATTTGACTTGGGGGAGACAGTAGTTTACACCTAACTCCTGATAAACTACAGTTCTGTGCTATTATGTGCTGCACAACATTAAGGTATTTTAAGAGTATTACAGCTAGAGCATCAAAATATCCCAAATCTGTATGTGTACACTTTTTTCAGCTGTTACTAACTATGCACGCACTGTTTGGTTCTGATTTGGGTCAAGTTGTTGTTCCTAAACCTGCTGAAATTAAAATCAAAGACTGGCTGTACTCAGGTAAGCTGCAGCAAGACTTCAATGAGTAGCTTATCTGTGGGTATGCTGTCAGTCAAAAATGAGCAACTGAGTCAGTATAGCACTTACATAATTGCTCCTTTTTCCTTGTAAGGGTCTTGAATTATCAGCCACAACTTTGATATGGAAGCTCTCCCTATGGAACTTATGTTTTATTATTACTTTTTTTTCTACCCCCCTAGGTGATTCACCGCTGGGTGCCTTGCAGCAGAGATCCAAGTAGTCGGTCCCATATAGATAAAACCATCCTGCTGGTTCAAATTGAAGATAAATACGTTGCTGTTGTTGAAACTGGAGTCCTTGAACTTGGGGCTGAAGTGTAAATCAATTTGAGACTGAAACTTCCCCTTCTCCAACGGTTCAGAAGAGAGAAGGGTCCAGAAGAAGCAGCTCCCCAGGACATGAAACTTCGGTCCAGTTGTAGGAAAGGACTTGAAACACAGATTTGTCTAAGTCACTTTCCCCAAATAAATACTCAAGTGTAAGAAATTTTTTTTAAGTTGTTAGCTGCTGAAGAAACATTTGCATGAAGGATAGATTTGTTGAGACATATCTTTTTGTTTATAAATTTTGTTTATGCATTGCGTAATGCTTTAAATCAACAAACTTTTCAGTTCTAAGATCAGAGCACCTCATATTTTTCTAATTGTTTTGCCAAAAATTGCCATGTCTTGTCACAGAGTGTGTGGAATTCATCCACCTTATTTTAAAGAAATTGACTACAAACCTTCAGTTTGGTGAAACAGTGTAAGGGTTTCAGGTGTGGCAAGAAGAGACTGAACAGATGTATAGATTCTTATTCCTTATGAGCTAAACATTAATGAGAACTGCACTAATTTTTTTACAGCAATGCACTAAAAACAACCCTGAGATTGCTGAGAACATTTATTTATATATATAAATATAAGTATATAAAATACCATTATTTAAATTGCCTTTGGGATTAATCCCCTCCCTCTCCATATACATGTTGATGGTAAGGGCTGTGCCATGGGTTTGGTTCTATGTTCTGTATTTCGTACAAGTGCATTTGCTGCATCCTCTTCACAATAAATGGTAAAATAACTAATATCTAGAAAAGCACCTGAGTATCCCTGTACTACATCAGACTCTATTGTGGTGGCAGTGGTACCTCAAATCTGTACAACACATCTAGCTTTAAAGTGGACCCCAGTATATGACCTTTCATCTGTCCTCCCTTCGCTAGCCATGGCTACTTTGCTTCTTTACACCCAGAGCTGGCTGTTGTTTCACTGACTCTTCTCTGGCAGAGACAGTTGTTCCAGTTTTACAGGGGGAGGTGCAGGTCCATGATTACTTCATGGATGCTCGAAGGTTGGGCTTTTGTTTTTTTTTTTTATTCCATCCAATTTGAAAAGAAAAAACAGCAACAACAAAACCCTCAAAAACCAAAACAAAAGAAACCAACAAAAACTTGACTTCAACTTTTAAAAAGCTTTTATAGAAGGCACAGCCCTAAACTTGTATCACTTTTACCACCTTGCCTTTTCTTTCCCTCTAGTCTTCATTCTTTTCTATAACTTGAATTTTATTTTCTGTGATTATATATTCTATGTAAGTGTAATTTGAGTATTTATAACTGTGAAGTTGAATTATTCATGTGTTACATATCCTAGGTTTTATTGTATTTTTTTAAAAGTGTGTATTCAGGGAAACAAGTAACTCAGAACTATCATGGGAGTGTGAGAGGGAAACTGGTTTGTTCTTGACTTGCAGTTCCTATGACTCACTTCTCTTAATCCGTAAGAAGAAAATGTACCTGTTGTGATTGTTTCCTGTTTGACCTGTAACTATATAGGACTCTGTGGGGAAACTGCACACAGTCCTAGCTTTTGGGAGCAGCCATCTTCTTCCCAGTCACCTCTGCTTCCTTAATGTAACGTAACCAGAAGAGACTTCTGATATACCACAGAGGTTATAGTAATTATTTCTCTGACATCAGAGAAGCCTGATCCATTATGTACCTAATGTAAGAGTTGAAATTATATGGGTTGAGAAAAAAACAAAGGGAGAAACAGCTACCTAACAGATATTCGGTATTCCGACTCGAGTCACTGTATGCCATTCAGCCATGAAAGGGTAAGTCTGTGTGCCTGGTGGCTAGTCAATTCCAGATACTGTTCCCAGTGAATTGTACTGGGACCTTGCTTACATCACATACTATGCAAAGTTGTACCCGAAGTACTGTGCATCTTAGAGTCGCGTATTACTATTTGGTTAATGCATATTCAGTCCCATTTAATCTTGGTATAAACGGATCTGGCACCATTGAAATAATTTTGCTGTTCCACGTAGTTTATCATATGTGCACGTTACAGTGTAGCTGCATTCCTCTGCGTATCTGAAAATGTAGTACAGTGGATGAACTGTCAGCAGTCTGGTAATGTTGCTGCCAGGAAGGAAGAAAATGTGTAAGTTTTGAATTGAAGGCGTCTTAGTTAAGTTTTTATTCTGTGTCCTTCCCTTCATGTAATTACAGGGTTTCTTGTATCACTAGAAATATTGCCTTGTTTTAGAAAGAGGAATTTGTTTGGAATCAGGCCCCTATTTGATATTAGCTGCACAAGGTTGTGTTTTCCTGTTCTGAAGCCTTGGTAAACAAATGACTGAAAAACAGAAGACATAGGTGGCTTTATTTATTTTTTTTTTTTTTTT